AAAAATTTGTATCAGATAAAAAAATCTGATATAAAATCAGTTATGTTGATATTAAATAGGTTGGGCTGATGCAATATCTGTTAAGATAGATATAACATAATCTTAGGTAGATATAATATCACTCCTGATAGATATAATACCAGTTTTGCCTGATGTAAAATCAGTTTTTTTTATCTGATGTAATGCCAGATGTGGGAATCTGATATAATCACATTGGCAGTGCGGTCTGGATGCACAAACAACCTGCAGGGAACAGTTGAACTGGCACACAAGAATCCCAGTCCGTAGCTTAAGCTGAATTCCCAAAAGCAGCCGTGTTGAAAGTTTCTTGGCTGAGCAAGTTTTCCTCAGAATCCGCTTGCCATGTGCCGTCCACGTTTGAATCTGATGAGCAAGTCTACATATCAAAAAAAATACAATCCTGCCGTATCAACACCAACAAGATCACACTGGATTGTACACTCCGGCCCTTGATAGACACCCAAACACTGATCATCCATCTCAATCCCAGCTGCCCCTCCTGAACTGGTCTTATGTATGTATGCCAAAGGACGGCCAAAAACCAGTTCTTTTTGTAATTAATAATAGCATGGCCAGACTTGGTCTAATGAGATCCATATTTTCCACTCTCTATAGTATCAGTGGACTGCAGACGCCTTGTGAAGCATATCAAGAAAAGTTGAAAACTCATGGTGATTTTCACCAGAAATTGTGCATCATCTTGACAAGAAAACCACAAGCTGGTCATGCATGTGCAGGAGGAAGTCAGTGTTGAAATGGACATTCTATGAACCCCTGATCTATCAGAACAGTCCAATTGATGGGCAAGCTTATCAAGGTTGGACTTTCAAAAGAAAAAGGGCTCCCATTCAACTGACCTGTCTCAGTCCTTGAACGTAGAAGATCCTTAAAAAACCCTTCACATCACATCATGATTGCATAGTACCATCCTCAAGACTCAGGCCAGCTGTTGAGGATGGGAGACTGCAGGATGTGTTGGTTCCAGTGGCTGGATCCACTCAAATGTTTGATTGAAGAGTGTTATGTATCACTTGTCCTCCCCAACCAGCCAGCCAGCTTCTGGGTTTGTTGGTTGGCATTTGTACAAAGCCAATTGCCGTGATCTGCTACATATATCATGCCAGGCAGCTGGAGGATTAGGTCAGAAGGGACATATGGCATGATATGTTTTTTTTTGGGCAGGGGGGTTGCAAGTTGAAGCCATTCCAGTTTGACATCCCTACTATTACAGCATCATGCTAGGATTTTTAGAGTCAGCTGGGAATATAAAGAAATACAACAATGACATCCATCCCATCTGCTTACCTGCTCAGCTGAGGTACACAAAAGATTGGTCATCACCCACAATCTCTTCATCAGGCTGAATCCCAATGCCACATTTTGCAAAACCCTGGCTCTCTCTGTGCTTGGTCATGGTGTATAGAATGATCATTCAAGGATCCTAGGTTTTTCTCCACATCATACATCATTTGATTTTGGCATCCTACCAGATCTTACCATTGGAGCACTTTGGTGGCTGGAAATTGATTCTTTCAAATCTAGGTATAAATAGTCCGGGTCACAATAGCCAGTTTCAATGGCTGATCACCTTGTTGAAAGTTGCTGATAGCAAAATTGTTTTAGGATGGATCTGAAACCGTCTGGGGGCGGGGGGGGGGCTCTGGACTACAGATTCAAAAATTTATGTGTTTTTAACAAGTATTCATGATTTGCTAAATACGGCTAAAAATCTTGCTGATGACTGGCTGTTGTGAACTGGGCTGATATTTTTGGCAAGCCATATATAGGCGACTTGAGCATTTTTCCATCACACCCCTTTAGTCAAGTTGGTTAATCTTTCATTCAGCACCTTGTCCACACACACTCACACAAAATCTACAGGTCACAAGTTCAAATCCTATTAGAGGAAGTACTATCACCAAGTCCCACCAAAACTAGTACCTTACACCATGCATTACATCACCCCCATAATCCTTATGTCAATTGGAAAATTTCTTGGAATGATATTGGGAGCAGGAAGTCTTGTGGGTGCAATGACACCACATCACCAAAGCAATTGCAACTCCCCATGTTTGGTATTTGTCACATTCACCAAAAAATGTGACTCCTGCCAGTTCAATACAAAATTCACTAACCTGATGAGCTGCACCTCTTGTAGGAAATCCTCAGTGGTATATGAAGAATGTTCCACCAAAGGCTGTCCTGCTAATTGGCACAAAAGTACCTGTCAAGAACCCAAGTTTGAGAGAGGTGTTCTACACAGCCTCTGTGCAAACTGCCAGAAGCACACAAAGGCAACACCGACAATTTCCTGCAAAAATTGTAAGAATTCAGCCAGCACCTACCCATATTGTTCAAGCCCAGAGTGTCACAGAAGATGGTAATATAAGCTACATGAGTGTGCCAGTACAGAAGTACAGAAAAAGAATATAGTCTTAGTAATAGCTAGATATCATCCAAAATGAATCACTCAACTTCAGCAAAAATGTGACTGAATGATCTGTCAGAAAAAAACACGCAGAAAAAAAAAACACAAAAAACACAAAAAATACACAAAAAATACACAAAAAAAAACACAAAAAATACAAAACATAACAAAAAAACACAACAAAAACACAAACAAAACACAAAAAAACAAAACAAAAAAAACACAAAAGAAAAAAAAAAATGTTACAAACAAATTGGAAACCCAAAAAAGAGCCCCACCCACCAGGGGAAATCCCAGGGCACTGGACTGCCAGTGACTGCAATTCACCAATATTTCGTTCAAAGTTGCTCAAAAAATATTTTGGCTGGAAACCAAAATTCTCATTAAATTCACAAAGTCAGAAAATGAGTTGACTTTGTTTTTCACTGAACTAGAAAATGAATTCACTCATAATATAATATGAAGTTCACCTGAATTTCCTGGGGGACTTATTTTTTGATTCACTGGAAATTGTACATTTTTTTCTCATGATATGATAATATCAAAGGGCCATTGGCAAGAATCACACAATCTGTAGACCCTGCAGACAAGGATGTAACAGATCCGATCCCCGGATCGGTATTTATCGGGGATCGGATTGCTTACAGTTTGGATGATACCCAAGTGTAAGGCATACAGCCCGCAGCATTTGGGTGCCGGATCGGGATTTCAATGCGATCCCGATCCCGATCCGATACCATGGGATTGGATCACCCTTAGTGATCTGATCCCTTATTTTTCGATACCTGGTATCGAAAAATCAACGATGGGCAGTTACGGTACCCGTATCTGGGAACGTAGCTGTAACGTAACCTCTTTAGTTACTTTATCGGATAGTTACCCGTAACTGTTGTGCAGAGTACGTTATCCACTTGAAAAAAATGGATATTTTTTTCCCGTTACGTTACACAAAATAACTTGTTCTTTGTAGGTACGTTACTTTCTAAAAACAATGGATAACTATTTTGTAACTGCAAAAGGTCGTGTTACTGTATAAAGTATCTAATATTTCAAATAGTTTCATAGAGATGAAGCTGGATCGGTGAATCTAGAATTTTTGAGATAGTCGCAATCAATAGTCATGTATTTTTTGAGCTAGAGTTGTTATGTATGAAAAAAATGGCTAAAAATAAGATAGAAAAGCACGAGAGTTTTGAGAGTTATTAAATTGTAAGAAAACAAATCATTTGTTGTGAAATTTTTTTTTCTTTGAATCCTTTTCTTCACAGAACAGTTTGTAGTTGTTGCGCTGTTTTTCTGCTGTATCAAATCGTTCACCCAGCTGAAGACCCTTTTTAATCCACAAACGACTACTGACACAAGTTTCAATAGTTCGTGGTAAGAGTCTTCCACGTTCATTAGTGCAAACATCTGCAGCTGCTGAGAACGTTCGTTCTACTGCAGCAGAAGCAGCTATACATCCTAAATAATCCTTAGCCAACATTGAAAGGATGGTGTACTTTTTTCGTGCACCTGCAAAGGAAAAAAGCTGATAAATTAGAATTTCAATTTCAAAGGTTTAATGTTTATGTGGAAATGCTTACCTTCCACCAACTTAATGCAGAGAAAGTCAAGTCCTTATCATTCCGATTGTCACAATGATCGATTCCTCCTAGATAGATTTCAAGTTCATCTTTTCCAGGATCTTTACTTGGACCACTGAAGAACGAGAAGACATTCTCATCTTTTTTTTCTGTTTCCTTAATTTGACTTGCTTCCTTTTCCTTTTCCAACACTTTCAACACTACCTCATATCCAGTACTGGATATGGAGTAAAAAAACTGGATATTCAGTGTTTTTTTTTAAAAAAAAAATGATGTGAAGAGGTGAACAAAAAAAATATAAAAATACTACATATCCAGGTTTATTTTACTGCACATCCAGTGCGGGATATGCAGTTATGTTTCATGTGCAAACGTTCGTTTTGTAACCTCGTCTCCACTGTGACCTTTTTCCTTTCTTCAAACAATCATTAAAGAATCTCTTTGGCCCTGGGAGTCTGAGTTGGAAAACAGTTTTCGAAAAATGCAAGCCTGAATGTGGGGTTGAGTATTGTCGCCATTACCAAGGTTTCGCAAGAAAGTGATTCCTCTAAGTAAATTTCTACTTTATCGATCATTTTTGAAAACATTGGATGTAACGGATCTTCACGTGTTAACGATTTCGACTTCTTCTTGAGAGCTTCTCTCATCTTCCAATACTCTGGTATGACGATACTACCGGTTGGTCCATCACCCTCCATTTTCTTTGTCAAGAAGAAGAAATACTATACACAATGCATGAGCCAGAAAATTCTCAGGGAAATCTATGGAAATAATAATACTCACTTCCAACTCATCATTCAGATCCTTGATTGACTGCCACTCATGAGACCGAATAGTTATTTCTTGAAAATGTCCCATTGACTTCTGTGAATTCTTTCCTCTTTGCCTCGCACGTTTGGCATGTACCTTATCAAGATCATCTTTGAGCATTTCGTCAATTACCTTGTTGGAATGTATGAAATGAAGAATTAGTAAATTATCTCAATTGTTTCTGCCTTCTCTGCTTTGAAGCTCACCTCGCGAGCCTCATATGCTTGATCACGACTTTCATACTTTATATTCCATCTTATGCCGTAGCCAGCAATTAGGGACCTGAGCTTCAAGCGTTTTTCCTCAGCCTTTCGACAAAAAACTTGACGCCATGCACTTGAGCAAGTAATTTTCCTGATCACAAAGTCCAACTTATTATTTAAGAAAAAACATCTTTTCAGCTTTGAAGTTATTTAAGAAAGGTTTGTTGAATGACTAGAATGCTGAAAACGAACCTTTTTTGTTAAACGATCAAGTTCATTTGATGCATAACGATTGGTCGCATGAAACTCTGTTGGATCTTCGAAGACTTCTTGAAATTCTTCGCCTTTGTCCTCACTGTCCTCATTTGATCCCTTGTTCTTCTTACGTTCCTTCTTTTCCTTCATCATAGCTTTGACTTCCTCCTCGTCATGTTTGTCATCGATATCGTCATTGGTATCAACATAATTGTTTACAGGAGAACGTATATCTTCTTCATTCATATTGTCCTCTTCATCTTCCTCCAAAATAGTCGGCATTGTATCGGAATAAGGAAACGTTCCTAGAATCGATTCCTTGACTTTTGGTGGTGGTGGAGCAGCAATTCCAAGTTCAGCCAGACCAGCATTTAAAATCAAGGCGATCTTATGGCAAAAGCAACGAATATGCATTTCTTTAGGCCTCCAGTCAAAGGAGTAAGTCCCATTTTTATCAGCCAAGATATCGAACATCGTTTCAGCCATAGTATTATTGCTTGCTGCTGAATCGGTTGTCTGAGCCAGCATGTATATACGTATCATTCATCAATGTCAGTTCTTCACTTGCAGAATATGATTTTTGTTCATTTTTTGTATCATTGAGAATAACTTATCTTAGGGTATAGCTCATGCTTTTGCAACACGTTGACAAGTGGCTCTGCAAGGGGGGTTGATAAGCGCACGCCAACCCCCAAGGCGCACGCCAATCTGCACGCCACTTGCAGATTGGCGTGCAGGCCCACATGCCAAAGCAGATTGGCGTGCAGGCCTGCACGCCAATCTGCAGCAAGGTTCTTGGCGTAGATTGGCGTGCAGGTCCTAAACCCATATGAGTATGGGTTTAGGACCAGGGCTATCCCATAGGACCCAGGCATGGGTCCTATGGGATAGCCTACATATTGTAAGAGTTTAAAAAAAAAAAAACTTTTGATCCTTGTAGGACACCTGCCGGTGTCCTACAAGGTCGACAACTGGCCGGCAAGGTTGTACAACCTCGTCGACCAGGAGGGAATCCTGGCCGGCGAGGTTGTACAACCTCCTCGCCGGCCAGGAGGGAATCTTACTGGTCGACGAGGTGGTACATCCTGGCCGGCAAGGTTGTCCCACCTCGTCGACCAGGAGGGAATCCTCCTGGCCGGCGAGGTTGTACAACCTCGTTGACCAGGAGGGAAAGCTCGTCGGGAGGGGCTCCTCCCGACGAGCTGCTTCTTATACCAGCTCGTCGGAAGGAACCCCTTCCGACGAGCTGGATTATGTACCAGCCTTGTCGGGAGGGGTTCCTCCCGGCGAGCTGCTTTTTATACCAGCTCGTCGGAAGGAACCCCTTCCGACGAGCTGGATTATGTACCAGCCTCATCGGGAGGGGTTCCTCCCGGCGAGCTGCTTTTTATACCAGCTCGTCGGAAGGAACCCCTTCCGACGAGCTGTGAACCAGCTCGTTGGAAGGGATTCCTTCCGACGAGCTGGTATGTACACAGGCTCGCCGGGAGGGGTTCCTCCTGGCGGTGTGACCTCGGCCTCTCTAGGCCGAGGGGGTTTGAAAAAAAAAAAAAAAAGAAAAAGAAAAAAGAAAAAAAAAAAAACAATGGCGGGGCCATCCCATAGGACCCATGCCTGGGTCCTATGGGACAGCCCAGGTCCTAAACGCATATAAATATGCGTTTAGGACCAAATATTGGGCGTGCAGGCAGGCACGCCAGCCTGCAGGGTATACCCCGTGCAGGCAGTGGCGTGCCTGCCTGCACGCCATTCTGCAATGGCGTGCAGATTGGCGTGCGCCATGGGGGTTGGCATGCACTTATCAACCCCCCTCTGCAAGCCATTTCCCACAGTGAAACCAAGAAACTAGTTTCAAAGCAAGATGACACATATTGAACTCCCAGTTATCATCGATGAAGGCCACAGAAGATCCAATGAATCCATATCGGTTTCCCTTGGTTGTCCAAATGTCGTGTACCAAGGTGAACTTGCTGGACGTGTTCTGATTAAGAATTTCATTTTTGAGGATTAGATATAGAGCTAAAAAATTTCTATACAAGGAAATAATTACCTTGATTTTATCAAGCATTCCTTTTCGTAAAGATAGGTACAGATGCTTAGCTTCTGTTGCACACCACTTGCGTCGGTAAAGATTGGCTTCAGGATTGGAATAGTGAAACGCAGCATTCAAATTGAAATCTTCAATACGCGACCAAGGGAGGGCATTTCGTAATTGCCAGATGGCAAGAACCTGATTGAGAACTTTGGTATCGAAATTTTTGGTGCGTCCAAAGAATGAGGTGAGCTTGTTATCCCCCGTTTTGTTTTTCTCCAAAAGAGCTTTGTTTGCGTCGGCGGTAGGTGGTAATCGTGCTCCTTCTTTAATTGCAACATTCCTTCTGGGACACCCTGAACCATCACGTCCTGCTTGGTTTGATCCGTCACGGTGCTTTCTCAAGTTGGCATCAGAGTTGTATCCACCACGCAGTTTTTTATGACACCATTTACAATGATATGTGATCGGCGGTCTTTTGAGTTCTTCAGCCTTTTTCAAAAGGAAAAGAAAATCAGAGAACAGGAAGATAAGTGGGATATGAAACGGGGAATATTTGACAAACTGATGCATTCTCTGGGTAAAAGGGTTTGCTAAAGAATTCCAAAATCGGATCGTAGTTGGGTTTCTTAGATTTTGCTGGTTGAATCTTGGAATTGGCTTCATCAGAGTCTTCAGCCAAATCTATGATGGATCATGTATCACTGTTGTTTGATTTTTCATCGTCTTGATTCTTATTGCCCCTCTTTTTTTCGATTGTGTGGAACAGGGTTTTCTGATTGTTTTTGGTTTGTCGTATTTGATTACTTTGGCAATTGTTTTAGATTTGTTTGATTTGGTGTCCGAGACTGATGAGTTCCTGTTTCTCTTCCTTCCGGCGTGATTGGCAACTGAGGGATCTTGTCGGCTGATTGATTTTCGAGAATCTGAAGGTGGAAAGACTAGGGATGGGTGCCTACTTGTATTAGAGCTAATCCTGGATGAACGGCGAATTCCATTTTCTCCAACATGTTCATGATTGACAACTCCAAGTTCAGCTGATTTGGTAGGCATAGTAGCAAGGGATAAGACTAATCAATCTATAAGATAATTGAAACTTTCAAAAAGCTGATGGAAAAATCTTGAGAGGTTTTTTTTGTAAATGTTAAACTATAGTATATGGTATCGCCATCAAAGTCCAGAATGAAAAAAATTTCTTATTGGTAAATTGAATTTGATCAACTCCCATCGAACCTAACTATGCAATATGCAAAATTGGGATTTATTGACTTATTGATTCCCACCAGAGCCCCAATCTGTGTTTTGAATTGAGGGCATTTAGTCTCAGACTCAGTGCCTTCATCCACCTCTAAAACATGCTGAATCCTCAATCACAATAACATACTTTGATTTGGTTATTTAATATTAGAGCAATCATGTGGTTCACACTATTTTTAACAATGGGTTTTGTCACATGAGAGCAAAAACTCAAATCAAATATTTTCTATAGAGAATTGTTCTACAGTCAAGTAAATAATGATATTCATGCCAATTTTTAATCAAAGAATCAAATTCTTTTCACCATGTGTGTCTTTGGTAGCAAAGAATTAAAAGTAGCATGATAACAGTTGCTTTTTAATTATCAAAACAACATGGCACTTGTAAATACATATTTTTGGATTGTTTTTGTTACATTTTTCTTGAAAGGTAAAGTGTATTTTATTGATTGGTGTAATTAATTTCCATTTTATTTTATTGATTGGTGTAATTAATCTCCATTTTCATAGCATGTTAAATAAATAAATTCTAGTGATTTAAGGCACTTGTACAATATAATATTCAATTTGATGCTGAGTTTAAAAAGAAGAGTCAAAATGAGTAATTCAATAAATGAAGTCTGGATTAAATTTCAATGCAACATCTCATCAAAAATTGAATGATTTGGCCCACAGCCTCAGGGAGCTTGATTGTTTAAATGATGAAATAATTCCTCTCAGTTGATAAAATGATCTAATCAAATTCCACCACCACTTCATCTCAATTCTAATGGCAGTTGAAATTCATTAGAATCACACTTGAGCTGGGACACACGCATACCATTTATATCAGACTTTACTCAGTTAAAACACTAGTGCAATAAAAAAACACTGATAATTATCATTGTAGTTTAAGAGGTTTGACTTGCACTTTCATCAAACTTAAAGCTGGCATAATCAGTATTGCCTGAAGAATGTTTTGTCTTTGTATTTTGGTTTTTGTTTCAATGCAACAATGATCAAACTCAGTTTCTAGCAATCCCAATGCCTCAAACTAATCATCATAAACACATTTTTAGCAAGTAAGAAATATCTTGCCAACAACTTTTTAGTTGGCTTTTGAGTTTTCTACTCAGGGATAATTTTCAAGATATCTCATTGATATTGATTCAGACCTAAAATGTACTGCATAACATTGAGCAAATGAAAACGGAAAACAAAACTTTAGGAGATCTAGGAAAAATTGTGAGAATAGTTAATAATCTAGAATATCCTCTACACCACCAAAATACATATCTGTTTCTTCATCATAAACTCCTTCTAAATAATTCTTGCAGGCATTACTAGTTCTAGTGGCTACTTGTAATGACATACCTAATTTTGTAAAACAATTGGATTCAGATGGTTTTAAAGTACAATGGACATATTCTTGTGCTTTAAATATTATGAGACAGGCTGTATCAGGATGAAAGTTAATAGCTACTTTTATATCACAAAAGATGAACTGGCCATCCTTAACATTGTAACCATCGGATGCATATGCAATCAATCCTGTTTTTTTGCAAGTAGGAAGAATCATTGCAAAAGCTAAGGGAAGATCGGTTAAATCGCCTTTATCTTTGTGAGGAAAATTATAAAATCCATGTGATGAGAAGGCTAAGTTAGAAGCAAAACCAAATGGGGACTTGTCATTGGGATTTTTAGGAAAGTTATTATCAGCAATTGAAGGAATACCCAAAGAATCCATGTGTGCTTTATTTTTTTCCACCGCCACATTCCCAAAGCCATGGAATACGTTCCATAATATTTCACCTGCTTTGGAAGAGTCCGACATGAGTTCCTCGTACCCTTTGGGGTTGTTGTCAATGGATTCTTGGCAGCGATATTGTCCAAGGATCTTGAGAGTATCGTATCCCTTGCGCCAGCCGATCGCCCACATTACACCGCCACAGGTTTGGGTTTTGGAAGCAACACGAGAGATGAACTCTTTGCAACGGTGAAGATATAGACAAAGACAGTTGAGTTCTTCCAGTTGGATTTGATCCATGGTTTTGAGTGGTAGATAGTGCACCATGGCGATAAGTTGACTAGTTGTCTCGTCGTATATCTTAGTATAACCGTAATTGACTTGGGTAAACGTATCCTGAACTTGTTTCAAGGTGGCCGCATTTTCGTTGTTGGTTGGTTTGCGGGGAAGAATTTACTTCTTTGGTGGTTTT